GGAAAATCCTTTTTAGTTACAAAAACCCAACTCTCCATAATCATACCATCCCCACCTCCTCTCCACATACACCCACACATCTATATACACACACATATATAAATCTATGTATATATACCTTCCCTATCTTATATAATTGTATCTATTATATATGCACTTTAGTTCTAGTTAGTATCTTCCATATTTATTTCAGTTAAAATTATGACAATTTATGAATATGGACATGCAACACTGTATCTACCTAATGGTCAATCCTCGATTGCTGCAGATAATGCGAAAAAATAATAACCATCATGACATTCTGAAAAAAAAATAGGAAATTTAAAGCTTTATTTTCATCCCAGAGCTTACTACCACCTTGTAGCAGAGTGGTTATCAAGTGTTATATCAAATGAGTTGTCATCTATTTCTTGGACTTTGGAGGAGTGTTTATTTCCAGGAGGGAAAAAAGTGGTTTAAAAGGCAGTCAGTGGAAGGAAAGTAGTAAAAAGTAGCCTAGATAATCCATAAACTGGCCAGTTACAGTCTCTGAATAAATCAAGAGGTCATTTTGCATTAAGAACTAGAAGTGTCATTTCCAACTTGTGATTTCTGCAACTACTGGATTCTACTCAAGCTGGATTCATAAGCTGATAAAGGAAGCCAGAATTAAATGGAGGCCTGGGGGAACATCACCTATTCTGAATCACTTCCAAATTTCAGCTGTTGGTTGGGGCACGGCAACTTTCTGATCTCTGTGCACTGGTAAGATATTGGCCAGAAAAACTCAAGTATTCTGTGAGAAAAGCAGCCCATTAAAAGAGAGAGAACAAAAGGAAAAAAAAGAACATATTTACGCTGTAAAGTTAACCATCATGTGAGCTTTTCTGAAATACTCTGGAACTTAAAAAAGCAAGTAAACAAAATGTATTTTGAAGCTTTTTCATTTAAGCACAGGTTAATACATTCCAAGTGCCATTTTGTATTTCGGATGAATACTGTGAGAAATAAGTACTTGTGACACCAAATATCTCCAAATTTCTTTGTTAAATCTTTAGAAATACAAATTAATTTAGCCCTATAAGGTTTAAGAGAAAATATTTTTTACCAACCTCAGTTGCCAGAAATACACCACACCATTTACGATACACACTTCAGTTTCTTGGAAGAAGCCAAATCTAATCTTAAGAAAATGAGATGTTATGGAGGAAGGAGAAGCTGAGACTACAGTATGGAAAAGGCTGCAGCAGGAAACACTTGTCATACTATGCCCCTGCCATCAGACCACCAGAAACACCAATTACACGTCTGGGAGCCTTGCTGCTTCTAAAGAGTTTTATCAAGAAAGTTTCATAAATGCCTGGTTAAAATGTGACTGGGCATATAAACAGAAAGAACGAGACATAAAACTAAGTCACTACATACCAAGCTCAAGAAATCCCAGAAGACCATAATAAAGTTATGATTTGTCTATCCACCTTTCAGTTATTCAGCCTGAAATGTGGCTTACAACCGTTCCAAAACCTAAAATGAATCACATAACCCAGTTTAACATACAATAAATCACAAGAGGTCCCGAGACAGATACAGGCAGTAGGGTTAAAAGTAGCTAACAATGACTATGCTTTTGAAGGAGAAGAGCAGGTGAAGGGGCCAAATGAGCTGGGACTGTTACCAAGCAGACAAAATGTGAGCTGTCAATTAGCCTTTCAAAACCTCGGCATGTCTCTCCTCTACAAGACATTCATTCTCAGTGTTGTGTGTGTGCCTAACTAATTAAAAATTATTGCTGCCAGGCTCTATTAGTCATTATGAAATACATTTTTGTCCTATGATTTTGTTTTCTAAATAATGGGAAGAAACGGCAGTAGGTGTTGTTTACGATGGTCCCCCCATACAAAGTTTTGTCCAAAAGTAGGCAAGGTCGACACTCTATTCTCTCAATCCTCTGGCTATATTTTGAAATAAAACATAGAGTTAAATGATATATTTGGTCTTTATTCCAGACTGGATGCAATTGATTTTAACAGACTAAATTATCTGATTTCTGCCAAGAATTTTATTTCATTAAGAAAATGATATTATAGAGCATCTGAGATCATAGAGCAGACTAAACATAATGCCAAAGGAGGTCTGAGAATGCGCCACAGTGAAGGTTTGATTATTTGCAGATGGAATATGAAAAAAAGAAAAAGAATCAGATCCCAGGCATTAGCCTAACCAATCCTGGTATCACCGCTGCCTACACAGTAACACAAAGCCAAAAAAATAACTGCGCTTCTAAGCCACAACACCTTTTTTTAAGGCACTAATCACTTTTCTTCCTAGAAAGTAATATTTAACCGCCACTACCCAAAACAAAGGGGAAAGGGGAAATGTTGGTACCACAATAGGCTCTAAGCCTGTCAAGTGTCACTGCTGACATGATTTGGCTAGTAGTCAAGCATTCACCAAGGAACTAATTTAAATCAATCTCCTTTGGGAAAGCCAATTGTTTGGTATGCGCAACAATTGGTGTAGGATCAATCAGTGGACATGAGATCAATTAAAACCAGCTTAAGTTTGTGAAGAGGGACAATTCACACAACCTGAGTTAGATCTCTATTCATTTCAATACTCACAATGCAATCCTTAAGCTTCCTTGCAAAGCAGAAAAGCTACTATCACCCTACACTGTCTAGCCAGCCCTTTAAGTAGTTCCACTTTTAATTAAAAACACAGTACACCCTTTGTTGGCACAGATAGTGTGGTCACTTTTAAGGACCGCGGTTATTTTAGCCAGAAACCTGGGATTTTGGAAGGGACATCTGTTAAGAAAGGGGGGAAAAAACCCTCACTTTGATAGAATTATCTTTTTCTTTACAACCTTACCAATTTACAAGTACTTGAAAGCATTTGAATTTTATTAAATTCAAAGGTTGGTTTGGAAAAAATTGCGCACTTTGGAACTGGGTTTCTAAATGTCAGCACTTGGGGATGTGGAGGGTAATTGCTATGAGATTTTGCTAAAGCAGCTTTGAAAATAAATAGATACCTAAGAAAGCATAGGCAGAGATGGCATTGAGAGTTGGCATTGCGGAGAAAGCATGCAGTATCGCTTCTGGCCGCAGGAGTGCTGTAACGTCATTCTCGACCAAATAGCATCTTCGCGTTAAGTTCTACTAAAACAATATGCTTGATTCTTCCCCAACCACAATGGGACAGGCAGTGTTGATCAGAAAGACATCACTGAATTAGTAAGTCATCTAATAAACAAGAACTCGGCAAAGGGTTTTGGATATTTCTATATTATGCAAAACCTGGAGCACTTTAGTTTTTTCAACTAAATAAATTGCAACTTCTGCTTATAAGGGGGAGGAAAGCCTCTCCAAACACTTTTGACCACAGTGTAATCAAAAGTTGCCAGTCCTACAGAATACCTGGAAAGAAAATACTGGGGTGGAGAAAGGAGCCAGTGGGGATGGGAGGTGAAGGAGGAGACGGAAGGAGACTTTTCCAAGACTAATACCAATATCGATCTTTCATGGCCTCTGGGAAGAAATTTCTCCCTAGTATTTTTATGCGGAATAACCTCTGAAAGTAAGCATTTTCCAAATGTCAGAAATGAAAGAGTGAGAGAAAGGGGTATCCTACTTATAAGCCACAGGTGCCTAGCAGGGCTCCTGAAGTCGCACGCGACCAGTTATCTCTAGTGCAGCCCGTGGGCCCGCCAACCCCCAGCCCTGCCCATAGGTGAAAACAGTTTAACGATGTCCTAAAAACCTATGAAAAATTAGGGCTCGAAAGGCTCTCTCCAAAATCTGGGCGCAGAACCTGGAGATTCCACAAAATGAATTATAAACAAGTCACATCACAGGTGGTGTGAGGCATTTATATCCCAGAAAAATCAAGATGTGTTAACCTCAAGATGAACGCTTAACTGCGCGAAACTCCAGATTTCTGGAAGACGACATAGCTCTCGGGGACTGCTGTGCACTTTCCCGGCGCAGTAAAGCAGGGGTGGGTACGTGTGTGTTGGAGGTTGTGTTTATTCCCCAGAAGACTTAATTGTGTTTAACAGCTTTTCCCCTAAAATGCAGTTGGATTAGCTGCCACAGCAGGACTCAGACAGAAATACGCACAGGCGCACACTAAATCTGCAGGAAAGCCAGCTCTCTGAAACCTTTCTGGAGGCTTCCCCTCGCCTTTCCCGCAGTGCGCAAGCGATGGAGAGGGCGGGAGCGGTTAAGAAGCCGCAAGTGAATTTCATTAAGAACACAAACCTCTCTCAGAAACAGCTGCTTTTGAGGGAAGTAAATGGAGAAAGCAAACTCTGGCCTGTCCCCAAAACATCACTCTGCAGGCGAGCGCTCCCCAGAAACGCTGCACACGAGTTACTGCTCAATGTAGAAAGTTCAGCAAGTCATCCCATTTAGTCTTAAGTTCCAGAAAAATGGATCAGTGTTGCCCTTTCCTAGAAATGCAAGTCCTCCACCTCGACTTGATACCCTTTCCCAGCTAGCTCGTTCCCTCTCTCACGCGCGCACACTCACATACACAGTGCGCGCGCGCTGCTAGGTTGCGTCCAAAGCGATGTGAGGTCAGGATTTGGGGAGCACGTGGGTGGGGAAGATAGAGCCAGATGAGCTTCAGGCGAAGCGATTAAGAGAACAAAAAAGAAAGACGGAGAACAAGAAAAATGGATGCCAGATAAGAAATGAGACCGAAAGAGAGACGAGTTCAGGAGTAGAAGCGCGGCAACAAACGTGGGTACCGACTCTACCACTTAGCTCAGAGCGCCCGCCAGACGCCCGGCTCACTCGGCTCTCCGTGCGTCTAGCTCCGACTTGCCGCGCCTTCTGAGGACAGAAAAGACAGAGCGTTCTGCAGTGCTCCTGGGCCCAGAAAGTGGGAAGCGGTGGCGCGCAAAAGCGAGGGTGGAGGGCAAGGTCCTGCCCATCTGAGCCCCGCGAGCCCGGGCGTGAGTGAGAGCCGCGACCCGCCCCTCTGACCCCACGCACCTCCGGCAGAGTAGGACCCACCTCGCTTGTTGCGTCTCCATCGGTTGCCTTGGCAGTGGCTGTAATCCATACAGTTCAGGATAATGAGGGCAAAAGAGAAGAGGCGAAACTGCATCTGGGCGGTCGGGCAGGGGAGAGACGCCTCTCAAAGTCGGGGAACTGGAGGGCTCATGCGAGGAGCCGGCGCCAACAGCGGTGCTGCGGAAAATGCAGACGGAGAGACGCCACTAGTTCAGGGGCTGCACTGGTCAGTTTGACCCGATCAGCATCTCTCCGCCTTGAACCTGAGAGACAAACAAGGAAGAGAGACAGGGTGAGTGGAGGGACAGAAAGAGTCCCGGGGAGGCAGCTGCTTCTTCACGCGTCCCAACTTAAGAAGGGGAGGGAGGCGGGGAAGCGAACCCACTGCCTGGCACGAGCCGCGGAGCAGCTTAACCCCGAGCGCGCAGCTGCCGGCTATTTGGAGAGCGAGGTGATTACAATCAGTGAATTAGCAACCTCTGCCGAGCTATAGGCTCCTACCCCGGGAAAACGGCGTCAGTGCGGGCGCTCCGGGGAAAGGAAAGAGTTCCAAAGGCACCAAAGGCGCAGGGTTAAAGGAGCGCTCTTCGGCCCTTTGGTCCCACGGCGGTGTACCCAAGCACCGTGGCCGCGGTGGCCGGGCGCGGGTCCCCTACCGTGAGCACTTACGTCTCCGGCGGTGCCGCGTGCCTAGGCGCGGCGCTCCATCCCGGGCTCGGGAAGCGAGCCGCCTCGCTGACACGTGGGCTGGGGAAAAGTTTGCCGAGAACCGCCGGAGCGCCTGGCACCTCCGGAATTCCGGCAGCCGCCTCGGGGTTGCAGCGCGCGGAAGGTCCTGTGGACTGGCCGCTCCTAGCAGGAGCGGAGCGGGCGCGTCCGCAGCCTCTAGGATGCTGCGTCCCCGCCGGTGAGTGTGATCCTCGTGCGAGGGGCACGCCCGCTCTCGCTCTCTGAGTCCCTATCCAATTGTGCGCAGTTCCGAGCTCTCCACAGCCACTTCAAAGCTAAGGTTACTCCCTTTCCAAGCGGTGGGAGACAGAACGCTCCCGGCAGGCCGAAGGGATGTGGCGAGCACACTTTCCGATGGAGATGCAGCCGGGCTGAGGCTCGGGATGCTTCTATAAGTAGGTGGTGCTGTGGTCCAAGGCATCTAAGTCAAGTCTGCCTCGGAGTTCCTGGGTCCTAAAGCCAGAAACTCCTAGGTTTCCCTAAGGTCCTAAAGAGCGCTGAAGCCTCCAGCTAGCCTAACCCCAGGCGAATCCCCTCTGGCCTTTGCAGGAGTGGGTGGCTAAACTAAAGAATAGCTGGGATGGGGGCTCTCCCTTCCCGCGCTGGTCTAGGGGGCCGTGCTGTCTTCGCCTTCAAGGCGTCCTCTCGGGGGCTCCTGGGTCGGTTCCAACCTCAGCACCGCGCCAACCTTCCTTCAAGAGGATCTGACTGACTGACAGCTTCTTCCAGACCTTCCTTCTCCTGCTCCTGGCCGGACTGTTGTTTCTGACAAGCAGAGTTTAAACTTGAGCTGCATCCGGAAAGATGCCGTACCTCTCCCACTTTTTAATTTATGTCTTGGCTTTATTTTATAGGAAGATCTGTAATCCGGGCTGAAATTAAAACGTGCCCTCAGTTTAGGGAGTGAAAGAAGTGTTTCCAGTAGCTTTTGCTCATCCTCAGAAGTGTTATATTTTGACTTTGTTTCTCTTCCAGGAACAGTTACAGAAGCCTGTGATACCTTGCTTGGAGTACTCGAGAAATTGGGACCTTACTTCTTTAAAGAAAAGTTCACTTTCCACTGAAGTATTTCTAACTCATAATCCTCCTCCCTCCCCCATCCTCAAAGTCTCCTGAATTAAACTTTTAGGTGCCTTGTGTTTGGGGAATGCTCAGTTTAACGAAGTGTTACATTAAATACACTTGACACTACCTGATTTCATTCTGGTGAAAGCTTCTGTTCTATAGTCATTATTGTGGGAACGGATGTGTTTACTCCTTAGGCAAAAGATAAGAATTTATACTGCTAACCATGGCAGATATGTTTGTAGATATGACCACAGGTCCATATTAGTATGCTATCATTTTGTACCATTTAAATAACCTTTTCTATACCTTCAGTCTCAGAAGATGTTCAGAAATTTGGAGACTTGAGACAATCATATAGAAACAATAAGAATACTAGAATAGTCATGTTTATTAACTATTCCATTATTACCTATCCACAACTGTTTTTATGGACATCCCTATTATATAGCAATATTTATGTGCTGAGAATTTCACTGCTATCCACTTTGTGCATGCCTGAGAATACCCAAGTAAATCTGAGTTGGCGTCACTGGTCCTATTTCTTAGGTAAGAAAATTCCGGCCCTGAGACTGGCCCACAGGGCACAAATAGAGTTGACAAAACACACCGCAGAAAGAGTGGATCTGTTTCTTGGCTTTTGGAGTCTCAGATTTTTATCATAGAATTTGGAAGCAATTGGAAACATTTCAGCTTAGAGAGTGGCCCAGCATTTGGCATGATGGCTTGATATTCCGGTGACTATTCCTGCATTGTCATAAATACCACTTCTCCCATACATTCACACATGTACACACCAAATTTATTGCACTTCTAAAGGAGTTAAATCCATGGAGGTATAAAGTCTTCTCTAAATAAGCCCTCTGCTTTCCTGTACAGCATTGAGACCCATTAAAAGACATCAGTGTCTTTTAAGATATTTAAAGGCAAAACTAAGCACAAGACCAGGTAGCTCTAGCCCTGCTATTAACCACCTGGGTCACTTCGGGCGATTCTCTGCATCTCTGTTTCCTTGGTATTTTTAGGAAATTAGACCGAGCTCTCTTTCACCTCTACCGTGTTCTGGTTTACAATCAATTTTCTATTTCTATCAAGAAGTTTGCTATGGGGTATAACCAGGGTTAGGACAAACTCACCATTGATGGGTTTTCAATGTAGAAAAATGAGAGTTAGCCACTGTCATCCTTAGTTAAATTTACAGACCACTTTCAACCTTCTGTCTTCAAAGATTACTTTCCACAATTTTAATCATTTGGGTTGCACAGTTGGGATTTTTTTTAACCTGAAATACTTTTCAGTTTAGTGAACTCCTAGATGCATTTCATAAAAAAGAATTTTACCAGCACTGCTTCTGTTGAAGATTGGTTAATGCTCTTAATAGGACAAGTACGGGCTCCAGGAGAAAAGAAGACTCCTAATTCCTTTCTTCTCTTGCTCCCTCCTAGTCTGTCTCTCCTGTTTAAAGGACACCACTGAACCTCAAAAATCTGTCACACTTAGTTCTTAGGGTGCTTAGAATATCATGCTTAATCTCTTAGGGGCTAGTTTGTTGATAATGCAGCCTTTTTTTTTTTTTTTTTTTTTTTTGCCATTCACTGAACATTTTTCCTGATTTCAAGAACCCAGGAATGTTCTTGCTACTAGAAAATACAACCCTAGTGGATCCTAAACTATCATTAACTTTAATCCCATATTTCTGCTTCCTTTCATTTCTAAACTCTGAATGTGTTGTTGTTGAGGCTCAGAGCTCACAGTTTCTCCATCTTGGAGACCCAATGGACTTTTTCTTCAAACTGAGTTTAGATGGTGGTTTCATTAAACTAGCTTTATAACAGACATGTGCCTGGTGTCTGTTTACAGAGAAGCATACTGATGAGGTTGACTTCATACCACTCACTGGTGGTCACGAAGGTTAACTGAGGGCAGGGGTGGGAGATGATGTTATAGTTGGGAGGAAACTTGTGCCCTTTAGTTTTCAACTTGTAATTCATTCATACAGCTAAAATTCAGTTCTTAGTAAAGAGCATATGAGGAGAAGGTTTTCCCCAGCCTTCCAGTTCTCCTCCTCAGAGACAATGTTATTCGTGTATAAGCTTCCAAATTTTGAGTATAACTCCAGAGATATGTTGTGCTTATCAAGAAAACGTGTGTGTATATGTGTATGTATACTCTTATGCAGCTAGTAGAATATTGTACTCACTAATCTTCACCTCAGTTTTTTTTCGTGCATCTTAGAGTCCGTTCGGTATCAGTTCATAAAGAGCTTTCCTTTTCTTTTTGTACAATCACATGTTTCACTGTATGGTTGTGTTTAGCCAGCTCCCTACTGATAAATATTTAGATTGTCTTCGTTCTTTTTCTGTTATAAGCAATGCTTCAATTAATCTTTTCATGGATCATTTTACCTTTACTTTATAAGTTCGTAAAAGTCGAAAAGTTGGATCAAACAGTTGGATATATGTGTGTGTATCCTTAAAATTGTCTTCCACAAGGTTCTGCCAAATTACACTGTATTGCAGTGCCCGTCTCCCGATATACTGGTCAACGTGTTTTGATCTTTGGTATTCCTAGGCAAAAAGTGGTATCTCAGTAGTTTTCATTTTTATTTCTTTTCTTTTAAATGAAATTATGTGTCTTTAATATGGTCAAGCTATTTATACTTCCTTTTCCATTAACTCTACAAAGATATCATTCACCTCTTTTTTTAGGTTCTTGGTCATTTATTCTTGCTTTGTAGAATATACATCCATCGATATATGTATTATCTTTTGTGATTTGAGTTGCAAATATTTTTCCAAGTTTATCATTTGTCTCTTAACTTTGCTTTTGATGTATATTACTATGCCAAAAATTTGAAAACATTTTTTACGTAGTTAAGTTTGTCAGTCTTATCTTGTATAGCTTCTGTGTTTGTATCATACTTGTAAAAGCTCTTCTATATGCCATCCTTTTTAAATTTTCATTTGGGGGTTTTCTAATACATTTTTTTCAATGCTAAAAGCCATAAGATGTTAGTGATTTTATGACTATACAATGTGGCTACATTACAATCGATTTAAGATTTTCTGAATCTTTCCTAAGTATTTATAGTCACAGATTTGGCTCTGACTCTCATTTTCATTAGCTAATTGCTTTAGAATTCTCTTATCTTTTATGTTATCAGATATATTCTCAGATTTAAAGTTTCCCACAATCTTCTTATTCATTGTTGAAATTTGTTGATGTTGTACTCACTCTTCCAGTCTAGAATTTATCTATTAATTACTTTGGAACAAATTATGGCATTTTTCCCGTTGTGTC